TAATTTCCCATTTATGAGAAATGCCCCAGAACCTGTGAATATCTGGTAACTTTTAAAGATGAGAAGTGTATTGTTTGAGAGGGCCTGAAGTCTCTTTTCCTACCCATTTGCCAGGAAAACTGGAAGCAATTAAATATTCCTGATTCTTTTTGTGACTTCACCCCGGCATTAAAAACGCATGAGCTTCATGAGGAAAACAATATAGAGGATGCAATCCACTGTATATTATGCTTTCTTTCTAAATAGGTAGTAACCAGAAACTGCAAAGAAATGCACTTGTGATCAAAAGAGAGAAATTCCCTGATGTACCATTTCTATTTGAATTTATTATTTTGTGTAAATACACTGCCTACACCTTGAAGTTGGTCATAAAACACTGATGATGTGGGTGAAGTGGAAAAGCAGGTTAGATTTAAGTACTCAAATAGATCATGGGTCCGGAGACTTTTAGTTAGGCCGAGGAGAGGAAGATAAAAAACAGTCAGCAAGCAATTTTATTATGCATTTGTCTTTGCTTTAGATTTTATTTGGCACCCACTTTGATTGTTAGGACTTTACTGAAAAACCCTGCTTCTTTATGCCTCTTCATATTTATTTGTTCTTTGATGATTGCATTTATGGAAAGTTTGCTTGGGAAGAGTTTCTTAGAGAGTGACATGGTTTGATGGGGACAAACATCAAGTATTTGGATGTCATGACAAAAAAAGCCAGAGGGAGAAATACTTATCTGAATTTGAGGGTTTTTTTTTTTTCCCCTAGACTAAAATGAAAGAACTAGATGAGTTTGTGAAGCCTCTGATGGAAACATCATAGGTACTTGGCTCCACTGAAGTAACTTTATTGATTAGTGCAGTGAAATCGTCCTTGCAGAACAAGATCTAAGTGATGAGGTTTAAGATTTATAGTAACTTGGTCGGCCAACTTAGAAGGCGGAAACCACAGCCAAACCCTCACTCTTTATGTTAATATTTCTTAGACAAAAGGTCAAAACAAGCCATTCCAAACTTGCAGTGAATCTAGAACATCTAAAGCCAACTGAAAGACTGCAGATATTTTGCTGTAGTAATGTCTGTTCTATCTCTGTGGCTCATGGAAAGTCACATGCTCTCAAACTCCTATATGAATTGCCAAATTCAGTAGGTGCTTATTTTTCTGTATAAAATTCTGTGACTTATTTCCTAAGAAATATACTTCTTATTCAAAGGGTATATTTTGTTCACTTACTTCTCATAGAATAGTATTTCTATGTTGTCTGGTATTTCAGGAACAAAAGGATGGTAAGTTTTAAGACTAGACTTTTGTATCTTCTAGACCAGTCCAACCATTGGTCAGACAAAGCATGGAAGATGATACTCAATACTTTCCACTAAATATGGAATGAATTAGCTTCATATCGTATACACTTGATTGAGCAGTCACTTTCAGGATACATGATCATTCTGAGGATTTCTTTGAAGTTCTCATTTTAAAATTTTTTTAAATTTGAGAAAGATTCACATTAAGAACATTTTCCCATAAAGAAATATTTTCAAGTGCTGGGTGAAAATGGGTTGGGTTTTCTTTTGTTTGTTTAAATGTATATATTTATTTTTGTTAGCTTGGTAGAAGCATCTATACATTTGGGAGGAAAGCTTGCTTTTAGACTAATGTTGGTAAAGCTCTTTTGTGAAACTGAAAGAGAATATACTTAGTAACAGGATTTTTTTATTTCCATAGGCTTGTACCGCAACCAACAACTCCATTTTGTAATTGACTGCTTAATAAACACCTTCACTATCCTGGCATAGGAAAGAGAGGGGCAGTTCTGTTACATAAAAGTAATAGAGTATATACTCCTAAAAATAAAAAACTCTATTTGTTTGCAGTGTAGGAGGATGAAGTTTTTTTTCACTAACTTTGACCTTTATATGTGCCTTGGGGGAGCAAGGTGTTCATGGAGCTTCGTGGGAACGTTTGGGGCTGATTGGGAACTGAAGTATATCCTGCCTTTCTTGCTGACCACAAAAACACATCTTAAGATAGTGAAAGAAAACTTCCTCAGACTTTTAAAATACAAATGTAGTTGGTTATGCTATAAATTGCAAATCAGATCATGAAGAGTAACTCCTCCCCTCAGTTTACATCCTCCTGAGTGCAGCAGTGAAGGAGGGGAGGGGAGCAGGGCTCTGTCCCTGGCTCCTTAGCAGGTTTGGTGTGGTTTAGGGTTTTTCTGAATTTATTTATCTTTTTTTAAAGTAGGGTGATCTGGGGCAATGTCCAAACAGTAAGAAATGACAAATAACCCTTGGGGCATGTAGCACCACTGCTTGCTTCGGTGGAAAAGTTTGGTGTGTGCTTGTGCAATGCTTAATTATCCCACTTCACATGAACATACAGAGCTGAAATTTGCACTAACTTGCGAGTATTTGCTCAGGTTTTGTTACGTTACAAGATAAATGACACTTTATATATACTGATATCATATTAAACTCTACTTAATGCTTTAAGATGTTAGGTGGCAACTGAAAAATTGCCCAAATACTACAGAGCAACACTGAGCCCCCTGAGGAGCATGATGAAGAACTTCTTGTAATTTTTTCAGTATAAACTTACGCTTTGATTTACAGTATTAATTTGTGCAGCTTCTGGCAAGCACCAAGTATTATTCTGTACCTATGAATATCGCTTGTATTACTTCAGTTAAATTTTTTTAAAGCAGGTTGTTTAAGATTTCAGAAGTATGGGTTTTTTTTTCTGCATAAATGTTCTGTTAAAAACATTTGTGGCTTAAGATTTAAATAATGATTTTTTTTTTCTTTTAATAGGTGAATGTCTATGTGCTGGGAAAAACTTTCCTTCTGTTGGCCAGAGAACTCTGCATAAATGCTCCAGCCATAGGTATTTTTTTTATGAGTTGACTTTTGAGTATTTGGGTGTATTTTCTGCATGGTTACTTTAAAAGAATATATATGTGTGTGTGTATATATACATAGTATTGTCTGCTAAATACCAAAGTGGTAACTTAAAAATGAAGCTTCAGTCAATCCAGGCCTAAGAGCAATGCTGACCATGAGAGCCTGCTCTCCTTTATGTAAGACTTTTTTGGGAGCTAGATGCTATTTTCTTTTACAAATAATTTTGTTGCTTTTTCTGAGAGTAGTTCAGGCTATACGAAGACAGTAAGGCTGATGTATAAAAAATTTGTGTGTGTCTACAAGCTTGCACAAGCCTGTCACACTTCCAATTCCAGAGATGCAACATTTGATAAATATTTGCCAAATTTCCTATCTGTCCATCACCTGTAGCTGAGGTGTTCAGCGCTTGAAATACAAGTGGCTTGATGGAAAATGAGGAGCAACTTTTTCCAAGCATGTGAATAACTTTTTAATTAGTAAGTCATTGCTGAAATTGTAACACAGTGATAGGAAGGTGGATTTTACGTGTTGAAGGATAAAAAAGCTGTTGTCTGGGCTGTAGCCTTTAAGCCAAGGGAATTCATGCCAATTCCAGTTAAAAGAGTGAGTTTATAGAGAAGTCTTGTGACTGTTACCCACCTCTGTGCAGGAATTTTCTTCCTGTATCTTTACCCACTCTTACTCTCACTCCCACTCTCCTTAATCTGTACTGAAAGAATCAGATGCTTTTTGTGTTCAAGAACAACACGCCACGCATGCCCCTTCAGATGTACTCCGCTGGTCACATAGCTGCCTGCCTTTGCAGCAAGAGAACCAGCAGCTCACATACTGAGCTTCGACATAACGGCATCCAGGTAGTATGTGGCAGTGCACAGCTATCAGCCATCATGGTGTGCTGGCTTTGTTAGCATAGCTTGATGTCTGGTAAAAAATTCTTGTTTTCAATAATTCAGTTGCCTTATTATTTTTCATTACTTTTTCTTTTTTTGAAGAGAGAACAGGCAGAATTTGTATTGCAGCTTAGTTTCAAGGTGCAAATTAGTGTAGCTTAGAAAACAGCAAACAGAAAACCCTTCTCAACGAAATGTAGAGGTACTTGTTATACATGGAAGAAAATATTGGTTTAGACTGCTGTTTGAGTATTCTTTCCAAGGTCATTATGAGAAAAGAGATTTATAAAAAACAGTATTTCTAATTGGCTCGTGTTTAATGATTGTCAGACACTTGAGAAAAATGCCTACTTTTATCACTCTTTGAGAAAAGTTAAGGATACTAGCTATAAAATGACTGCTGATAGGGGATAGGACTGTTTTTAGAAAAAAGAGAGGTAGGGGAAGATCTAGCAGCTTTTGTTTAAGGTGGCTTATTTCCAATTAGTAATTTTGAGTGAACTTAAAGACCATAATGCAAGTATTTCTCTAATGTCTGCTCTTAAATGTGAGGATGGGATGTATATTTAGATAGTGGCTGCTAGTATTACAGCTCTGGGCTAAATCTGTGATAAAGCCTGTTACTGCATTAAGCTTCACGTGTATGTCTTGACTCTGGGCATTCAAGTGGGTGCAGTTGGACAGGTGCAAATGTCAGTGTTGCTGTTTGCTGGGCAGTCTGTGGAGGTTAACGCAGGTGATGTGTGTGAATGGGCATTAGAGGCTTTCAAATATAACCACAGGATGATTTTGATCAACTTTGATTATGCTCATAGTTTGTCTCTCTTCAACTTAGGCAACACACACAAAGCCCTGAGCTTCCACTTTATGTCAGCTCCCTTTTTTGTGAAGGAAAATAAAGGATGCTGATAGATAAGTCTCAGTTACCAGGCAAGGGAACCTTCGTATTTGCGGTGATAGCTAATGCCCTGTGGACATGCACAGAGGGGACAGACTACGGTATTATCATCACCCGTTAACTGTACTGTAGATGAATTAACAGACACAAGTCATAAGATCAGCAATGATCAAGTACACAGGATTTAGGGCAAGTAAAAATGTTTTATATTTCACAGATTGGGGACAGAATACAGTATTATCATCACCCCTGTTAACTGTACTGTAGATGAATTAACAGACACAAGTCATAAGATCAGCAATGATCAAGTACACGGGATTTAGGGCAAGTAAAAATGTTTTATATTTCACAGATTCATAAACTGCTCTAGTTTAGAACATTCTGTTTAAGTCAGCTGCAGTCTGCAAGTTAGTTATCTATATACAAAATAAATGCACAGTACGTGCGAAATTTAACATTTTTCTGCTTGTTGCAGTCTTAATAATTAAGTCAAATAGCTTATGAATAAATAAAATAAGATTAAATTCAAGAGCATTCCTTCACTTATTTGTATAGCCTGATTTAGCAGATAGGTAAGTAGCATAACATTCCATACTGCTGCAGAGTTCATAGTAAAATTGAAAAAAATCCCTTAATGTGCATCACTGCAGTACTGGAATACAGTCAAGGTGAAATGCATCATGCATAGAAAATGAGCTCAGGTATTTGTCCTCCTTGTACTCCGGTTCCATTAGTACTGTCCGAGGAGCACTGGAACTGGAATGTCACTTTCCCACACTGCACTTCAGTCATTCCCTCTTGCCCAAAGTAACTGAGTTCGTTACCATCAAGAATAGCACTTACATTGTAAAATGTGTCTTGCTCAACCTGCACAGGGTGTTCAAACCACACAGAGAAAGTGTTACTGGAGCCATCAGAGGTAAACTTTGTCAGATTTTGAGCAAGGACAACTCCTAAGCGCTTCAGTTCAATTTTGACGCTGTATTCAGCTTTGCCACAGCTTGACCCATACAATCCCAGTCCTGCTATAAATATCCGTTTATCTACAGCAAACTGAATACTGTCACATCGCCCTCGGTACCTCCACTGATTGCTGCGATATGCAGATGACTGAAACCGATGGCATCGCTGAGGTACAAGTCCTTTTCTTTTTGTCAGTGGAAACTCTAGTTTGGGTTTATTTGCAGCCGTGTACCATAGGAATATGTTGTGAGTTTCCTCAAGGGTGAGGATGTCAGACTGGGCAGCTCCGTTGGCAAACTCTTCCAAAGTCATGGTTGGAATCCGCACCAAGTACAAAGCTTTTCCCAATACACTCCTCTTGTTGCGCGGCGTAACCGGCAGCCCTTGCCTTTTGCATTCAGCTTCTGCCCAGTTGAGAACAGCCTCGAAAACTACCACTTCCTTGGTGTTGAGCGCCTCCCGGGTTACAATGATCTCTAGTGTTTGTTGATCTATCTCACAGAAGCCCTCTGACTTCAGTGCCATTTCTGCTTGAGCATCAATCACTTCCCAGCAGCGCTGCGTCAGCTCTGGCTCCTCGAAGAGCCTGCTCTGAGACAGCAGGACACAAGCGTTCTTCGCTTCTAAACTGGTCTCCAGAAAATTGACGCAAGCCTTTGCTAGGGCCGGCACGATGTACTTCTTGGCAGCGTACAGCGTAGCCAGAACTGTGTCAGCTTCCAGGTCTATTTCATCACTATACATGTATCTAGATGGGAAAAAAATAGTTTCTTAGGAGAAAAAAAAAAATACATAGGCCATGAAAGATTGATCTATAGTCATCTTTGCTGGCAGTGAATCTGACATTCAGTATTTGTCAGCACATTAAGTAAACAGTAATAAGTGCGTATTGCACAATGCCAATTAGGAGATGTATATTTTATAAGCTACTTTGAGTCTGTCCACATAATTAGTAGACTTGTAGTGGCCACTTACTTTAATAGGATTAGAAAGGCTGCAGGTTCCACATCTGGTATATGGATTTCAGATTTGACCTCTGCGAGATCGCCATAAAACATAGCATAGAAGACAGAGCTACCAACTGCCAAAACATACTGGAAAATAAAGAGAGAGAAGCCTCAGTAATACGTATTGGTAATAGCTGAGCGTGCTGGCTTTCGGCAAGAGCTACACTTAGTGAAAGTTAAAAGCTACAGTGGAGGCAAAAGACTGCCTTAGACGGTTCCCTTTAATTGCAGTGTACATGAATTACTTCTGGGATTAGACAAGAGCCGTAATTAGGAAAAAAAAAAAAGGAACCTAGTTACGAGGCAGGGGGAGAAGGCGATATGCACAGCAGTATCAAAGAGGCAAAAATTATCTGCACAAACCTTATGGGCAGGAACTTTCTTGGATGCCCCCGGCGGGCCCACGATGAAGTGAACGTCAGCCATGAGTTCGTTATTGAACATCAGCGCGTTCCTGCAGGCGAGGGGAGGGGGGAGA